GGCCTGAAAGCCCCAATGGTGCCCCTTCCCCCATTTCGGGGGCTTACCCAAAGGGTCCCAACCCCCCCCCCCCCCAAAACTGTACCTGCGTCACACAGTGGCTGGAAGGGAGCGAGCTGGGTCTGAGCCGGGTCTTTCCTCTGGCTCCTCTCTCCTGCGCGGCCTCCAGCATTTAAAAGTCTAGGAAGCTCTGACTCAGAGACTAATAGTGACTGATGCCTCTTTCCTCCAAGCCTGTATCCAACCCCTTTGCAAATGTGGCTGAACTCTCAGCCTCCCCCACATCTCATGACAAGTCCTACCTTCAATGACACAGGGAGTGAAAAAAGAGCTAGGACTGATGTGTGTGGGCAGTGGTGCTGAATACATACCCACCGCCCCTGCCAGCAAGCTCGTGTGGTGTCCACTTCCACATGCACTAGGTCACGTCACCCAAGGTTTACTAAAAATGAAGCACCAATTCCAAGGTCACCAAGACCCCAAGAATAAGCGACTCCGGCGTTCTAGGTAAAAAGATTTATTAAAACTTACCACTAAGGGCAGCGGCTTTCCTCACATTAAACCCCGCAAGGAAAACACCAATGAGACTGTGGGCAAGAGGGTTAGCATGGCATTTGGGAGGCTGTTAGGCATCAAGCTCAGGAAGCGGGAAGGTAGTTGTTAAAGGTCTTGGTGTACAGACATGAAGGCTTGCAAAGTGTTGGGAGGCAGATCCGCCCTTCAGTTGCAAGTACGACACAGCCCTGACCCAGACCAGGACACACGGTGGTTACGGCATGGGGACTTGAAGGCATGGTGATAGCATCTCATGCTTCCTTGCGTTGCACAACCCCAGGGCAGGGTGCGAGCTGAGGGCACAGGATAAGAGGAGAGGGTGTGTGGCCGCTGTGGCACGTCTCCCGCGCACATCCAAGGGCCAGCTCCATAAGCAAACACGTCTCAGCGTGCTCGGGAAGCAGGTACTGCCTTCCCGTCCAGAGGCAAACATCTGCACTGCAGAAGCCGATCTCCCTCTGTCAGCAGAGCGAGTCTCTTGGTCCCGTGGGGGGAGGAGGGAATGTGGCACTTGTTTCTCAGTCTCTCTCCTCCAGCGAGAGGCCACATCCATGCAGTCGATGGTCCATTGCACTGGCAGGCCAAGCCCAGCCCGCCTGCTTGATCCCCCTCACAGCCAGCAATGCTGTTTTTGGACTGGATCTGCCCTGGCTCAGTCCCGTTGGAGAAGGTTACAGGATGTCGCAGCTCTTGGAGCTACCTGCGGAGACAGGCTCCATGCTGCGGCTGACTCAGGAAGGACCACCGCAGAACAGACTGGCTGCTGGTCCCGCAGGCCCCGAGCGTGGCCTGTATCCCTGATTTATCCATTAAGAATGACTATTACAATGCTCGGCCCAGCTCCTGCTGAAGTGCGCAAAAGGGTCTGAAGGCCCGTTTTGTTTTACTTCAGCAAGCTGGACGGCTGCTGCTATTCCTGGCTGGAGGGAGGAGGAAGACGCATGCAGCGTTTACGGTGTTAGGAAAGTGGTTTAATTGCTAGCAGGCGTGGAGCGTCTACTTCATCAGGCCTCCTTACAGCTGCCTTTGCTCTGGTGGGGGGCTGGGGATGGGGAGGTGGCCTGGAAGGTAGCTCCACGCCTGGGAAGCCTCGTGCATGGGATTAGGACTCAGCAGATCTCCGCAGGCTGAAGGCAGCAGAGTAGGAAGAGCCTGGCTGTCCACCCCGCTGCCCTGCTGGGATTCAAGAGCCTGGTCCAAAGTCCTCTGAAATGGGGGGGTCTGGCCTAGGTCTTTCTACTGGCTCCAGGGGACACTGGGTCAGGCCCAAAGCTGGTACAGGGAGCTGAACGGGGCACCGGTGGCTGGCACCCCGGGGGACGGGGAGGCAGGACGCTTTGCTCTGTGGTGGGCAGCTGCCCTGCTGTACACCCCCAGCGTGGCTCCAGGGACAGGGAGCAGGAAGGAGGGATGGCGGCAGCAGCAGGGGAGACAGCTCAGGGTCAGCCGCGGCCGCCCACCCTCAGTCAGAGTGGATGGATAGCTCCAGCCGGACGCAGGAGAGCTCCTTGCCGCCATAGCTCACGACGCCCCGGATGCGGTAGTTGCCGTTGGTCAGCCACGAGGGCAGCTCTATGTCGGGCAAGGCGAAGTCGCTGCTGGGCAGCGAGTAGGAGCCCTGAGGAGGGGAAAGGACACATCAGCCCCCACGGCGGTGTTTGGGGCAAGCCCAGCTGAGATCCCAGCGGGTCATAACAAGCTTCGCATCCACACCTGGAGCTCAGCCCAGCCAGGACTAGGAGGGACGAATGTACGGGTGTCTCCACATCCATAATTCCTGGTAGCTAACTGCCCCCTTGCTGCCATCCCTCCCCAGGGAATCCTCCAGCTCCCTGTTCAGGTATCTCCTGCTCTGCCCTTGCACGGTTATTTCTCTGCCCCCCTGCCTGGCTCCGTTTGACTCCCTGCAGCCACATCTGGAAGCCTCTGTCCCCCCTCCGCTTTGGCTGCTGAAAACAGGTCACCCCCAGCCCCTGCCTGGAGGGTCTCTACTGCAATTACAGTTGGGGCTGCATTGTGGGTGCACCCTGCGACACCCCCCTGTGCCAGGGCAGGCTCGGAGGCTTCGCCTCGCTGCAGCACAAGCAGTCGGCAGAGGGCAGCACCACCGTGAGCTGGGGCCCTGGTGAACCTGATGAGACCCAGGCTCCCGTCTCCAACCCACGGGTGACGCTAAGCAGCAGACAGGCTCCCCGAGCCCAGGAAAGGCCCAGGGGCAGGGGCTTTTATCCAGCATCCTCTGCCTCCCCCAAGCAGCCCCCAAGCCAGCAGTTTGCTTAGTGCTGTCTGCAGGGGAAGGAGACCTACTGAACCCACGGCTCCCACCACGGGGCATGAACCTTCCTGCACCACTGACTCCAGCAGCCAGTTGCTATTTTCTTCCCTCCTGGTGCTCACAAAGCCCCTTCCCCAGCTAGACCCCGGCTCAGTGGGAAAGGGGCTGGTCTGCAGGCAGCCAACGGTGTCTGCTGCCTTGGAGCTTACTGCTTTGAAGGGGCAGTGGCAGGGGATGCCATAGGTGACCAGGGGCTCCGGGCACAGCTGGCCAGGGGGGATAATGTCATCCAGGATGCTGCAGAGGTCTTCGTATGTGCAGCTGCCCAGCTGGTCGATGCAAGGGATCTGTATCCATATCTCGCCCAGCTTCTTCTCCACAGTTAAGACCCCCTGGAAAGGTTGAATGCACAGTCGCGTACCAGAGCATCGCAGTTGGGCGGGTCTCTCCCTCCTCTTGCCCGCACCTTCCAGCTTTTCCCGGTCACCTCCCCGTGCCTGCCATCCTAAGCAATGTCCCACTTTTGTTTCTCTTGTTAAACTGCAAGTCCCTGTGGGCAGGGGATGCATCTTGCTAAAGGAAATCCTGTTGGGTTGGATCACACCGGTCATGGAGAAGCAGACCCAGCCCCACATCTGCCAAGCATGGAGAACCAGAGCATTAGGCCAGAACAGGGACGAGCCACCCAGCTGCAGGCTCCCCATGCAGGGCAGCTCGCTGGAGGCCCCTTCTGCTTGGATCCTGCCCTCAAAGAGCACTGGTCCTACTCTAGATCGCAAGCTCTTAAGACAGGCACTGCCACCGGGTCTCAATCTGTACAGCGCCTGGCACGCAGAGCCTCGATCACCGGGCATCGCTGCTGCACGTTACTGGCAGTGCTACCCTGGGTATGCGCAGCTCCCACGAGAGTCCAGGGCAGGATGTGACCCTTTCGTGGGAGGAGTGGCAATAGCAAGCCCCACAAGGAGCCACAGGAAGGGCTCACGCAGCCAAATAAAAGAGGCCGGGGCCACTCCGGACATGGCTTTGTGCTTCTTACTGCCCCAGCCAGCTTGCTATGGATGGGGTGATGCTGGAAGGGGGTGAACGGCGCTCACCCGGTTTCTGCAGCTGGGCCCCGGGTTAAGCACCATCCCAGCAACCCCCAGAGGGTTCCTCTGTGCCGGCTGCAGCAGAGGAAGGCCCCGTGGGGAGGGCAGCTATGCCCTGTACTGCCACATCGCTGAATGCAAGGGGCATGTGCAGCGTTGGCGGCTTGGCCTTCCCTGCTCATTCACGGCCCCGGCTCCCAGTCCACTCTCAGACTGGGAAGCAGGGTTTACCACCCCACAGACTGGACCCAATGATGGAGCTGGACTCAGCGCTGCAGCCTGCCCATGCCCTGGGATTCAGGCTCATCCATCAGGCTCCTTTGGCATTTTTCAGGCCCGGCCACGATCCCCGAGATCCTCTCCAGCACCCACCAAAGCAGAGGCACCGCCGGGTTGCTCAAGAGCACGGGGGCGGCTGGGCTCCCGCCCAGCTCCGCATCACAGGGGCAGGGCGCGTTTCACTCTGGGCTTGTCGATGCAGAGGACGTGCAGCCTCAACTCCCGGCGCCCGCCTCACTGCAGCCGTACCACCCCGGCAGCAGGAAGGCGGTGACGCCCTGGTCTGTGAGCAAGCCACCCAGGCGGGACCTGCGACGTAGCTCCCCGCCCGTGCTGGAAAGACCGTCCGGACCAGGCCAGCAGCAAATGCATGCCAACCTCTGTCTGGGGAACGTCTTCAATGCTGCAAAGCAACCGCCCTGTCGCCTGGGGGAGGCAGGAACACCACCCTGGCCCTTTCATCTGCCTTCCCTCCCAGCAGCAAAGATGGAGCTGAACAGAAGTCTTTGCACTGCCTCCACTTCTGGGAGCTAATATCCGCCAGCTGTTTGCCTGCAGCATCCAGGTCTGCATCTCTCTACTTAGAAAGGCCTTCAGTCCAGCCTGACCCCGGGCACTTTGGTCTTCTCTGGGCCCCCAAGGGCCCCCTTATTTCCAAGCTTTGCAAAGCCACCCAGCCTGGGTACTGGGGCACGCCTGGCTCACGTACCTTCAGAGGCGAGGTCATGAGAGCTGAGCTGGTGACGCCCGCGCTGACTTTCACGTTCCCTGGGATGGTGATGGGGTCCGGGGTGATGGAGAGACTCTGGAGTACGACAGGATCCTTCCCGCCGCCGCAGTCCTCCCACGAGAAGCCGCGGACCTACAGGATTCGAGGGGGGGAAGGGTGAAAGAGCGTCCGCGCTACACTGGGGACGTGGCACCACGTCTGCCGACGCTCCCTGTAGACGGCCGCAGGGAGTCAGGGCTCCGGCAGCAGGAGGGAAGTCGGTGGCTTTGCTGAGGAGCACGATGACCAGACCTCATCGCAACGCACACTTCACACCTTTGCCATGAGGAACAAGCCGCTGTGGGTTAGGGCTGGCTTACCACGGGGCACAGTGTGCAACCAGCAGCTGATGCATGGGGAGGCTCAGAAGAAACACCCGAGCCATGGGAACGTGCTTCTCGGTTCACCCTCTTAGAAACCAACCTCTCGCTACCCCGAGCAGAGCCGGTGGAGCAGAGGCAGCAACAGCTGCAGCCTGCCTCTCCCTGGGGGACCCGGCTCTTGTATTTGGATGGGCGAGACACACCGGGGCAGCCCCTCTTTTATTTCTAGCCGTCCCTCAACAGATGTTGCAGCCTGTCCCCAAGAGCCGAATGGGTCCCGAGGCCCCGCTACCTGCAAGCGCCAACCCAAGTCATCTCAGCACATGACACTGGGCTGCAGAGGGTTAGCGAGGGCTTCAAACAATGATTAGAAAGTGTGTGAGCCTCTGGTGTTGGGTCCTCACAGCACATGACCTTGACTCACAGACTTACTGATATCTCTGCCCCCCCCCTGCATGCATCAAAGGCCCTTTCCCAAGTCTAAGCAAGCACGGGAAACCTTGTGCTCTTCCATAATTTAACCCCCTGCCGTGTGAGCTGCTGCTGAAGCCCAGCAGGAACCGAGAGCTCTGGGCTGAGAAGCAACAGCCCCCACTGGGTTTGCAGGGGGGGTGATAAGGGAAATAGGGGTTGCTCTTACCACAGCTGCAGTTCAGCTGATGGAAATACAGAAGTGTGCATCGCTCAGCTTCCCTCCAATACCCCTTTCCACCCTAGGCCAAGCAGTTTTGGGGTCAACAGAACCAGCTCCTGCGTGTCCCCTTTTGGGACATGTGATGGGCCCCAGGGGAAGGGCTGAACCATGCTGTGTTTGCGGATCTGGGCACGCTCCAAAGAGTGGCCAGTTGTTGCTCCAGCCAGACTTGGCTTTGCCAAGGGGACTCTTTTTGAGCTGGGACATCTTCTCCCCCGTGGCCACCGGCACAAGCCACGAGCAAAACATCCCTCGCATCAGCCTGGTGCAACGTAGAGCAGCCCCCAGGCTAACTTAGACCCGCGCCCACCTGCGGTATGGGGGTCGCAAGCCAGCGCTGCAGCTGCGCTCTCTCTGCGGCAGCCAGGCCGCTCCCTGTGTTTTGCAACAGCCGCTTACCTGCCTGTCCCCCTCAGCCTCGTGGGCCGACACGCAGGAGATCTCTTGTGAAATCGGCCGGCCCGTCTCCCAGAGCTCCCGACGTGGGAGTAGGGGAACCGAAACCGGGAGCAAAAGGGGAACAGAAAGCGGGGTCGGCCAGAGGGGAGACAGGTTCCTGATCCTACCCGGTGCCGGCGCGACATAACCGCGGCACCCGAGGTGCTCTGCAAGGGCAGGGCAGGGCAGGGCAGGGCCGGGAAGCCGCCCCAGTCCCACGCACGGGCAGGCCAGCACACGGTGCCTGGCGGGCTGGGCCCAGCTCCCTCTTGCTCCCCAGCGGCCTGAGCACGGGCGGCCCTGGGCGCCGACCCAGGCCAAGGGCCAGCACCCAGCCTGCAGCCTCCCGGGGACCCCCCCGTGCCGCGAGCCCGCTTTGGGGACCAGGGACAGGCCGCCCCCAGGCTCCGGCACCCGGGCCCCCTGGGGACACCGTGCCACGCACCCGCAAAGCGCTTGCGGCCTCGCCGCT